GAGCTTGCGCGACTTGGAGACTAAAACACAGCGTCTACATGGGGATTGGCATCCGCTGATGTGTATCTTCGCCGCTGATGTGTAATTCCCAGCGTCCACACTGGGGTGATGTGTATTCTCGCCGACTGATGTGAGATAAAGCCGATGGTTGTCCTTCACGCATAGCAAAAGTTCTGCAAAGTGTGCACCTGCAAGCGGGAGACACGCAAGCTTGTTCGGGTTCGGAACAGAACAACCTCTGGACTTCTACGAAGCCCTCTAATTAAGGTCAAGCCTGGTGACATTGGCGGAGCTACAAGAGGCACTAAGTGCCAAGAAGCTTTCGAGCTTTCTGGAATCCATGGGCATCTCCACCCAGGCGCTTCGAACTGAGGGAGTAAGAGTGTCGCACCTAAACAAGGCTTCTGTGCCAGCTTGTGAATGTGATCTTCAGTGTAACTTGGTCAATTCAGGTTTCCGCACACTGCAGAGAATACTGTCATGTTCTGTGTCAGCATGGGTGTTAGAACGGAAAAGCCAGCGACGATTTTGGGCTTGTACCATCTTGCTGAAAAAATGAGGGGGGGCGGAAATTGCACAAAAACTATCCCCAGCTGTGTGCACCGTGCTGCTTGCTGCGTGGCACGGGAGGTGTAGAGTCAGCTTCGTTCGGCATCTTGTGGCTAGGGCCTGTACGCGCGGTTGAACGCAAGGAAGGCCCCCACAGTGGAGGCATGTGCAGGGGCATTGCGGCTGGATGGTGAAAATCTCAACTGGCTGAGAGCCCTTGCTATACTTTGTTTGCCGCTATACCCCTGCTAGTGACTTGTGGGTCGGATTCTTCTCGCGATGCGGCCCTGAAGGATGTGTCAACGTCGCTTGGATGCAGTCCTCGATGGTGGACTTCAACTCTCTGGCCCCAGATCTGGTGCAAAAGGACTGTGAAGCAGCCAACAGCTTCGCTCATCGAAGTGAGGTCGTTGAGTTGACTTTGTTGGGAACGCCGTAGGGGCCGAGTATGCAGGTTGCACAAGGCAGGACGATAATTGCAAGATAATGGGTTTGGCATGATGTGGCCCTGCGGAAAGGGCTGTTGCCGTAACAGAGGAAGAGTTCTCACGCCCCTTCAAACGTCCAGAAAGTAAGGGGGTCCGCGGCAGCCGGGGACCTAAACAGTCCCTCATTCTCCGGAGAAGAAGAGAGAGAGACAGGCAGAGAGAATGAGAATGACCTGCTTCCGACTCGAGCATTCCAAGCCAAACTGGTTGTGGGCCAAGGCTGTTCATGATCATCGACACCGACCGTAGTGGATGGATCGATCTGGATGTTGCTGGGCTTGGAAATGGACCTGTTACCGCACGGTCATATCCGTCTATCGAAGCATGCTTGCCTATACCATACACACCTCGTCAAAGGTGTCGCTAGTCAGCTCAGTCCTTTCGCTCAGGAGTTCGTGTCCGGTTGTATGCAGCTGCATGGTCCGGCAAAGAGTCTTCAGCTTGCACAAATGAGCCCCGGGCTTACGGAGTGTCGCTTGGTTTGCGAGCGCTGAAGCCTGCAACAAGCAGTTGCCTGTACCTGCGCCTGCTGCCAGAAAGGGTTGCACCGATGGGTGCACAGAGGAAATTGAAAGACGTTGTGAAGCAGATTTGGAAGCCTCTACCGGAAATAATCGATTCAGCTTCATTGATGATTTGGCGGCCACCAGCAACTTGTAAATTGAAGTTCTGGACTCACCGAGGCCACGAGAACAAGGTGACCAGGCAGGTAATCCGAAGTCTCACCAAGTCGGTCGCGTCCATACACAAAGAGCTGTGCTTGGGCTGCATCATTTGGGGTTCATTGCAGCGTGAACTTCAGCATCTTCAGCTTTGGCAAGCCTCATAACGTCTGCCAACTCATGTTTTGGGTCTCGGAAGCCCCACGCGCGTACATTTGCCAACTGTTGTGCAGTGGCTCACAACCCGAAGCGTAGGTGAACCCACGTCGATCAGGGCTACATTTGGCGAGAATGGTTCGCTTGTCGAACCTCGCATGTCCACCGAGGTCAGCGCTGAGATACAGCATGGAGGATGGTTCAGGCACAAATCATGTCGTATGAGATGCCTCGGAGGCAAGCTTCGATGCCCACAACCCGGTTGACGAATGTTGAGATGGTTGCCACGATCCCAATCAACACAAAGACTCGATTATGATCACAACTACAACTAATGTACAGTTCCAAGCAGAGGCAAGAAGGCCACTACTGTGGTGCAGAAGGCTTCGACATCTCCCGTTTCGTTTGCTAGCCGAGTCACCGCAGAACTCCTGGGCATTGCCGCGATTTCTTGACCTTGCTCGAAAACTGTGCGTCATGTGCAGTTCCGCCAGCCGGCATGCGAAAGACGCTTGCCGCTCCCAAGACACTCCCAGAAGGCAAGTGCGACCAGGAAAGAAGACGGGGACAGTGGTGGCAACGGTGTCAATCCTTCACCGCCCACACGACGTGCAGACCTTTGGGTGGCAAGGTTAAGGCAGATGGGGTAAGTTTGCCGTCTCGAGCAACCGTGTCAGTTAGATTAACTTGGGTGCACTGTATTCCTGGTGCACTTGCTCTACGTCTCGCGGCAGCCATTAGTTCGAACAAGCAAGTGGCAAGGCAAAGCCTGAAGCCGTGAGAATTGCGGAGCATTCCGGAGCGACCGAAAGTTCCCTGCGACCCTTCGAACTGGTTCACAGTCGCAACTCCACGGCAGCCCTTGCTTGATGCCGCTTGAGGGGGAAGCAGTGCGCTCTAAGCTTGTATTCCCACACTCCCACACTACAGCTTTCTCGACCCGTCCCGGCCCGGCTGTCTCTTCGCGACTAGTGCCTGAGTTTCACAGGGAAATCATGGTGTCTACTTCACTTCCACTTGCAACCCTGCTGCATGGGTTTGTACAAGCTGCCCAGGCTCTTGCCTGTTGGCTTGTCCATCAACTGTTGAAGTATCCAGGATAGGAGGATGCTAAACCTCATTGTTGGCCCCCCGATGGCGTCCTGTCTCTGAGTTTCACAGTTCACGGTGGCAAAAATGCCATGCTCTCCCCAGGTGGCCGTTGTCCAGAGTTTGCTATTTGAGGGCCTCATTCGGAATCAATGGTAATTGAAGTCGGTGAGGGTTCTGACACCCAGTGGGAAGTTCAGTGTCATCAGCCCCAGAATCTGTGGCCGGACTTGCCCAACAACCTTTGGACTATAGCCTCTGGGGAGATACCATCGATGAAGAAAGGAAGACATGCGTGCCTGCGTAGGTGTGCGTGTGTGTAATGTGTGTGTGTGTATATGTATATGTATATATATATATATGTGTGTATATATATACGTATGTATATACAATGTATATGATACATTTGTATGTGTGTATATATGTCATATATACACACATACATATGTATGTACATACATATACATCCACACAAATGTGTGCGTAAATGTATATGAGGCATACTTTCGGGATGTAGCTGAGCAAGACCGGCATTTCCCTCACCTGGCTTGTTGGAATTGGGAGCGCTGAACTAGTTATCTTAATGTGTTGGAGACATTGAGCATGTGGGACCCGTGCTATAGTTCATCAACTGTCGCGTTCTCGAGGCTTTGCAATACCCTCCATGTTTGAGTCTCAGTGGCCCTTGCTGGGGAAGAGGCTGATTTAAAACTCCGAAGAGGTGCAACAGACCGGGCCCCTTCCCGGCGATGATGTGCAGAAGCATGCCGACCAGGCATCCGGCGGATGTTCTGCCGAGCCAACCCCAGCTTAGAGCTTTGTGCGTGGCGTGCCGCAGGCGCAGGCCTTCCAGGTCACCTACTGGTACCCAGTCACGACCGAGGACGGTCAAAGTTACTACTGCAACTGGGAGACAGGCCGGCCGCCTCCCAGACCGACACTTGGTGGTCGAGTTGGCGCACGAGGGTGTATGTTTGCGGAAACGTTTTGCCTGTAAGGAATGTTATAGGGCTAAGGAGAAACGCTTGTGTTTTTGTGGCTTATGCTGTTGGCTTAGTCAAGCTGCAGTTGTGGCATGCAGCCGTTGCAGGCGAAACAGCTTGGGACGTGCCTTGTGGTGGCAAGGCACCTGTGATGGCTTCGGCTTGTAAGAGTCGGTCTTGCTCACAGTTGACATGAGGCATCAAATTACGCGAACTGTCCCCAGTTGTGCGAAGCCGCAGCATTGGCTCAACATGGAGCCATTACTGGCTTTATCTTTAGTCACACTGTCCGGCGAAACATGCCTGATCGAGATACCGCAGTCCGCCAAAGTCGCTGATGTTCGCAGAGCAGCTATTCCTTCTCTGGGATATCGCGCACGATCCGGCCAGGCCATTCTCTCAATGGCCATGGTGTGCACGTGTGTCTGTTTGGTGCTCGAATGTGCTTGAGCTGCAAATGTCTGGACAGTGACGCAAGGCTTCAAGATTGAAGTTTTGCTCGTTCGACTACATGTGGAGAGTTTCGCAGGTGACAGTCGGCGGGCAAGACTTGAAAGACACAGATCCGGTGGCGGATTTTGCGAACAACCCATGGTGCATCGTTTTCACCAGCTGCCGCTCCAAATTGCTTCCAGGATGCACGAAGCAGATGTAGTTTGTCCGTACACCGCCCCAACAGTCAGACCTTGGGGCTGGGTCTGAGGGGTTGCATGAAAGATCGGTTTGTGCTGTGATGCTTCTTTTGCCTGGGCTGGCTGGCTTAGTGGCCACGTGACTGTTCTAATGCTTCGTTAGTGAGTGGCGCAGGTTTCCTTGACCGCGCAAACTTGTTGTTTACAAGGCATTGTCCGAAAACCGCAAGGCGGATTCGATGTTGCCAATGAAGAAACTGATGAAGAGCCTCGGTAAAACGACTCCGAGTTCGAGAGCCGTACTGCTCTGCAGTCGGATTGTCAAGGCTCGGTCTGAAGGCGTAGGACGGCGTAGGATTCAGTTCGTGCACACTGAAGCCGACAGTGAAGTTGCTCTGTGACGCGACGCAAGGCTTGAAGCTGCGAAGGCAGCTATGGAGTCCGAGGAGTACAAGGAGCCTGCTCTTCTTCGCAGGACTAGAGCCCTGGCACTCGGTTTTGAAGGAGGCTACCAGCCACTTGCATGACCTGGTGCAGCAGCATTCAGATCTCACTGACGACGAGTTGCAGCTGCTAAGCCTCTCGCTTCCACAAGCGCCGGTCTTGGAAGAGGTCTTTGGAGCTACTGCGGTTTCATTTCAGAATTTCGGCAGAGCTTTCATGGCCTACAACCGCAGAAACCAGTTGCAAGGCTCTGCCTTCAGGGCCCGATCGGGGGTCCTACGAGCAGCCTGGCACCAGGCGCCGGGTTCAGAACCAGAGCTTTGAAGAAGTTCTCACCTGCGGAGACATGCAGTTCAGTCCCAGCTATTCCGTTGATGTGGTCGAGCCGCAGCCTCCATGCTGCGGCTGGATGCCGTCACATGGCCACATGCAACTGTCCCCTTTTAGACTTTGTAGGCTCGCGAGGAAGGGAGCGCTACGACGGAGGCGGTCGAGGTAGAGGCCTTCTGCCTCGAGGCGGGACAGCCAAGTCGCGACCCGAGCCGTGAAGCCAGCCCTAAAAAAAAACAGGCACTTCGGATGCTGGAGGAGCCGTGGTCGCAGCTTTCGTTCGATGACTTCGGTTTTCTTGCTGCCTCCGCGAGCCCAGGAGAGGCTCCTGCCCCATTCGCGCGGTCACGAGCGCCTTGTGTATGGGCGTCTTGCAGGCCAGGGAGCCCCTTGATCAAGGCATCCTGTTGCATTGGCTGGTTTTCGCTACGACGACATCGACTAGCGCTGGACCTGACTTCTTCATGTTGTGTTTCACAGGCGATTACTATCGCTACTTGACAGAGCTTGGGGGTGACGAAGCGGAGGCGGGCTCTTTCTTTCGTCGTGAAGGTCGAGAGGAGTGACTTCGAGGAAGTTTCCAAACAATACCTACTTCAAAGAAGCATGGTACGAAACTTTAATTGAAGCAGTTGCCGAGATCTGCCGAGATACACGTAGAATTTGCAGAATTTGCCATTTGGTACCGGTGAGGAGAGAAAGCGGCGTGGTCACCAAGCTTACGAAGCCGCCATAGCCGTGCAAGAGGACGTCCTCGTAAAGTACCTACCGGTATGAGCTGGAGGGTGTGGAGAGGGAAAGTTGTGGCTTCGAGATGGGACCCCCGTGCCGATTCCGATGCTCATTCGAGTCTAAGCAAAGCTTGGGCAGCTACCCTGGATCACACAGAGAACTTTATGGAACTAAAGCTCTCCTCGAACAGCCCGCAAGCACAGCACCTTGTTGAACTGCCTCAGGACCTTGTGAATCCGACACATCCGTCACGTCTTTTTCTTGCCTTGCTGCTTGACCTGGTGGAAACCTGCAGTGGGGATGTAGATGCACACTGTCCCGCCCAACCAATGTCGCGCAAGCTAGCAGCAAGGAACTATTCCGTGTTCCTGCATGGCTTGGGAGATGAAGATCGTGCAATTGCTGTTGCGAGGACGGCTTTCGAAGCCTTTCGATTGCATGTACTGCGGGCATGATGAAGCCGTTTCCCGAAGATGATGTCGCGGGCCTGTGAGCCTGTGAGGGTCTTGGCGGTTTGCGTATTACACTGCGTATATCCATTATGCAGGCACTGTATAAACTGACTAAAATCGCGAGCTCGGAAAATCCGAATGGGGACAGCGGAATTTATAGCTTGCCATGGGTTGGTGCAAGGATGAATCAAGGATAAAGATGTTTGTGAGGCTCCTTCTTAGCTCCAAGCTCTGAGAGAATCATGTCTTTCAGTTTTTTGTCATCAGGCGGGTGGTCTCTCTCTCAGATAACGCCAGGTCTGTTGGGAGGTCCAATTCTTGTGGAGGCTGTGGAGGCCTGGAGGCGCATTCACCGGGATGTTCGGATATATTCAATTATCCCGTACATCGGGAGTCCGACAACGTTTAGGCAGCATTACTACTGTCGGGAACACACCTGCATCCTCGCTTAGACGGATGCTGTTTGTGCTACATTGTTACATTGCTCGCTCTGTGTAATCGTAAAAGAGTCACCAGGCAAGCTGTCACCACGTGACCCATGAGCGACTCTTTGCACCTTCCCATTCAAGTCCCAAGCTTCGTTGTGGTAGGACATGAGTCCCATATGCCCTTGCTGATAATGAAATTAAAATTGCATTGCATTCGCAATACCCTGGCAACGCACTCTTAGTTTTTCATCCTAATTTTTGTTGGTACCGGAAGTGCACACACGCGCACACCCACCCCCGGCACTGCATATAGCCAAGGATTCGATAGGTTTCAACATGGGTCGCGGCGAGGACTGCTCGTGAAAGCTTGTGAATCAGGGCTTCATCGCGTTTCAGAAAGCCTTCGACAAAATGTGAGCTCAAGTTTTCACTGCCCCGAATGCACTGCCACTATGAAATAACAGGGTCAGCTTTGCAGTTGCAATCTGGGCGGGATTTTCTGTTCAAACCATGTGGAGGATTGGGAGACTGAGGGCATGAATCGAGGGGACATCACCTTGGCCCTTCAGATGTTGCTCGACGGAGCCGAGTATTCGGAACTCATATGGTTCTCTGGACCGTACGTTACGTGTACTTCACACAGATGCCCTCAATCCCACAGAATGACTCGATCTACGTTTCCGGGTGTCCACTGAGGGCAGGAATAAAGCTGGATGGGAGCTACGAGGGGAACAAGGGACAGGGCTTGAAACGAGACTGTTTGCGTTGGCAGTTCTCCCTGTTGTCGCATTGATTCAGACTGCCAGTTGTGGTCCGAGGCTACGCGATAACCTCACTTTATGGACTCAAGAACGAGAAGAAGCCGGCAACTGCAAGTCGAGCGGCGACGGAATATGAGTGGCAAGTCAGTCCCACTCCATGGCAGTCAGACTCTGGTGGCGACATGCACGTCGGGGCATGTCGGGGCTTCTGCGTACTATGTCAATTGACATGCAAACCATCGTCCTGGAAAACGCAATATGCGCTCCCCAATGCACTCCTTCACCGTGCTCCTGAAAGGGAGCAAATCGAAACCAGTGCTCGTGTCCCAGTCAGAGGGTGCATGGCTTTAGTGGCCACACATGTCGATGGCAACAGCCATGCGGCATCCGCGTCGACTTACACAGTGTCTTGCTTTCAACGATGGATCTTGACACTGCTAACGGCATGTCACCATGGTGCGAAGGAGTGTGTGAAAATGCCTTGCTGCCATTCAGCCAGCGCGCAATGACTGCCTTTGCGGAGCTTGAGCATGCCGACAGCCTTGCCTTTGCAGAAGCGTAGGAAAATTTAAAAGCATATGTGCGAGCTCGTATGACCATTGCGTGTAGAATTGCGCTCCCGACTTCGAAAATCACAATGTCGAGTCGGATGCAGCTTCGCATGACGGCGGCCGGGCATGTTAGCTCCCGACGCCAGGTAGTTGCATCGGAAGCTGAAATGCAGCAGCAGGGGTCTCAGCATGTCTGGTCAGGATGGGCGAACGCATGTGCACGATTGCTTTTTTTGGTTGATGCAGCAATTCAGTATGTTGTGTGTGGCCTGGTTGCCATGTGCTGATTTTTTCGGCAGCGTTATGGTCAATGGCGGTAGACCTGGCATCCGACAATCTCCGTTCCTGGCAGCACAGGCTGCACGAACCGCAGCAGCAGACGCAGCAGCAGATCCCACAGGCCCCGTGAGTTCGAATCTCGAGTTGAAGAAAGGTTCCCCTTTGTCGTTGTTTGCAGGCAGGCCAAGCAGGTGGAGCATGGATGGCCTGCCAGACTGCAGAAGGCTCGATCCTCTTGAAAGCGTCAGGCTGCAAAGTGCACAGACGCATCGGCCGTGCAGGCGAGTAAGTTAAACAGCAATAAGCAGAAAGCTTGCCTGCTCGTCAGGGCATATCTATTACTACAACCAGACCACCGGCGAGTCTTCCTGGGAGCCTCCACCCGAGATGGCGGCTCAGGCTGTATCTGCTTGCGGTCACATCGCACAGGACGAAGCAGTTGCTCTTGCCGCGTCCCGGCAGGCGTCGGTTCAGGGCGGTGGTGCCTGGGACGGTCCCGTGGCGTTTGTCAGTTGCTGGTGCGATCTTGTAATTGTAAGCCGCACGATAGTAAGTGGTGTGGGGATTACAGGACAGCGACGTCATCAGTCAGAGTTTTAGAGTCTCGAGCATTGGATGAAGTCCTACGAGGCTAGACAGGCTGCCGGTATGTACAGATATGTACAGATGATGTCATTCTCGACAGATAATGGAGGCGCCTAGAGTTTCAGTTCTTTCAAGCTCCGGGTCGAATGGCAAACTCAAGCCGAAACCCACATACAGGTTGCAAGTGCAGTTGTATTGATGCTCTGTTCAGCAGAACCATGTCCGGGAGCCCCGGGCCCGGGCCTAACTTGGTCAGCTATGGGTGGGTGGGACAAGCCCGGGAGCCGACTAAAAGTCTTTAGGTAAGGTTTAGGGCCAGAGCCTGAACACCGGCGAGGCGTCAGGTTTTCTTGGAGATGTCGCGTCCGCGGAGATCGCGGCGAGAAATGAAGCTTGCACACATTGTTGCGGTCACCTCTGGAAAAAAACCGATTCTGTGACCGAGCAGCTCATATTGGCACCTTCTTGGCAGGGCCGGGCCCGTGGCAACATGGTCGGCTAACCTGCGGGTCCGACTGCAATTGGAGCCGAAAACCGACGGATGAGTGGTCAGGCGGAGGCATGGTGGAACCTGACTTCGGCTACACGCAGTCGCTTGAACGGATACAGAGCACTTGGCTTCACTCGCTGGCATTGCCTCTCTGGCCAGACATTAGCCTCCCTGCATGGAAGATACCATTATGGAAAATATCGCTGTGACAACTTTTCGGTGGACCGGGTAGTCAACTGGTACGGTGGAGGGGCCGCAGAAAATGAGGGCTTCTCAAAACGGCCGCGCACCCAAGAAAAGGGCCCCGGCCGGTTTGCGATAAAATGGAGCATGTATTGAACCGCTTCGTAGCATCAGGGTCCCGGAAGCTGAATCCCAAGACGAATGTATCCCGTGTCGGACTTTAGTTCCTTGGCCCGAGCCCTAAGGTCTGTATGCTGCACATGCTGCAGAGGTGGGGTTGGGCACCTCAAACGGCCAGCATGCACACAGGGTGTTGACAAGACCGATAAGACTCAGAGGGTCTTCACATAACTGCTTTAGAGACCGGCGCATGGTTAAGGGCATCTACTTCGTGGCAGGAGGCAGCACGTGTACAGCGGCAGCAGTACGAGGACGGACACCCTACAGGGAAATGTGAGCCCTTTTCGCGACTGTCGCATCCAGAGACCTGTGTCGTGAACGCATCTTTTGCTGTCTGCCCAGCCCGGATCGAACAACGCATTGCACGAACAAGCTGGTTTCCATCGAGGAAAAAGAGACTGAGAGACCTATTTCCGATTTTTGTCAGCAATCGCCCTTGCCACGTTCTTGCACGCTAGGCCTTTCGGTTGAATTGCACCTGGAAGTTGGAAGTTCAATCTTCTGTGATGTGTTCTTTGAAACCTTTCGCATCGCAGCATTCCCTCAGCTAGTTGAGTCGCACGTTGCTTCACCTAGTGTACAGACCGAGAGTCTGATGTAGTGCTGGTCTATGTCCAGGCCCCAAGACATGCGTGGTAGGCTCACATGTGGCCTTCCATTGCGCATGTTGCAAGCAAACCCGGACCCGTTGGATTTCTCACGCCCTGAACCTTGTTGCCAAATTCCAATCCAAGCTTGTCATCAAAATCTCCGAAGAACCATCACTACCATGCTTCTCTCATTCCTCGGCCTCTTTCGCCTCGTCTTCGGCATCTTCTGCTACGTCCTTACAAATCAGGCAACGCTGTTGTTTCTTCTCCCTCCCTTTAGTGTTACAGTCAGTGGAACCCTGTCAAAGATTGCACCGAGGTTATTATCTGCTCCTTATAGTCTGCCGTTTATTCCTGCAGCTGCTTGGAGCTCCGCTGTCAGAGTGTATCACGGCATCAACTGCAACTTTTGGCTTGTACGCAAGCCGGCGTGCAAAATCACTGCTAATTCTAACCGATCGAACCCTTGCAAAATAGAGCGAAAACGCAATGAAGTTGAGTCTGCAAACCGTTTTGGTGGAGTTTCTGTCAGGATTTGTGGATGTTTGGGCTGGTCCTTTGGAGAGCCATCCAAAAACCTCTGCCGATGGTATCTTGATCTGTGCCGCTTTTTGCATTGTCAGCACTGTACCTTGCAGAGCCAAGAATCCAGAAATCCAAAACGACGGACGATTCGATTGTGAGCCCAAGTGGCAACACAACGGCGGCGTCGACGCAGCGCCGAACCTCAAGACCGAGCCACGCGGTTGCTCGATGACGACCAACGTAAGAAGCGCAGTTCTGAACCGACGTCGAACCGGTGCCGGATCAATTGAGTTCGAGACGATACATAACAATACGATGCGCTCATGCTTGCCGTTCATAAACGGACTAGCAGAGAAGAAGCGCGGCACGGAACCCACATACGTTTGCCGATCGTACACCAATTCTAGTCCGACGGTCGACTAAGTCGATTA